CGTTCTCATAAGATTCATCATGCCAAATTATTCACATAGTGGTAAACGTTTGACTGAAATTTGGCTATTTTATGCAAACATTATTGGCTACATTCGTCTGGCCTTAATTATCATTTCTGTGTTTTTTGCAAGCACAGCTCTTCATCGCAACTCGTTAGGCTGGGCGATTCTTGCATCTGTTTGCAATTATACAGGAGGCTGGTTGCTAGATTGGTTTGTGAGTAGTTACGTTCAAAATTGTAATGCTTAAGATTTTATCTTTAGGATGGACCAATGGCAAGAAAGTACAACCAATGTACGGTTTTTGGGGCAGGTTTTGACTGGTATGATTCATATATGATTATCGTTGCTGATGGTGTGTCTTTTATAGGTACTGTGATTTACTTGCTGAAGTAGTGTTAATCTTCTGGGCAGCCGCTTTACATCATTGGTTGTCAACATGGATGCTGATTGTCTTTGCTCTCGAACTGGCCTCAGCATTCGTTGACACGAACAATATTGCAGTATGTTATCGATGGGCTGAATTCGCGCCCAAGCATGGCTTTAGTTTTCACGTGCTTGAAATCATATTTCCTAATGGTCACTACAGCAAGTATGGAACCGCGATTTGGATTCTACATGCTACATGGGCATTCTGTCATATAATACTTGCTCACACACCCACTCACTACACTCGTCTTTCTGTCATACTACGTAGTTTATGCACAATATTGATTCCTACTACGTTTGGTTACATCCTGCATCAATTCGCCTATTTCATCGCACTTGTTTCTGGATGGAAAGAGCCTGTTGTGAATAAAGTTGCTGAGTAAAACAGTGATTGATGTACGGAACCAGATAGATTTTGATACTCTCTTGATAACGGTTTATTAAAGAAAGAATTCAGAATATTGTATGTGCACGTCTTTTATTTCTGTCATATTATTTGAAGTTACCCAGATTGATGACTTCATAGTCTGGATACGAAAAAAAAAGAACTGAAAACTGCGCATTTTTTTGATCAGTCCTCGTTAGCCTTTGATCCATTCTTCTGGCAAAAATCGAAAAAGAATCTCAAGACTAAGCAAGTATTTCGGATCAGAAAGTTAACTAACTGAAACTGTTATTTTGTAAATATATCAGATCATCACAGAGACCAAGAACTATAACATATTCACGAGACTATACTGTTCCGAAAAAGACAACAGAAACCAAGCTTATCCGGTTAAAGTTCATGACTGTTGAACGGAACAAAAAGAAAACATTGAGAAGTTTTTGTCAATGACTTGTTTCATCTTAAACATCACCTATTCACAATTTATGAGTCAGAGAAGGCTTTTTTTTCTTCGTAGAAGTGTATCATTAAGGAAAAACAATTCACCTTATACTAAGATGTCTCACAAAAAAGCCTCTTAGATATCTTCTTTTTTAAATAGGAATCGACTATTTACAATGAAAATTTTCTTAGTATCTAACTGTTGAATAAGAGGAAAAGGTCTCTAAATGTCTCATCATAAAATCATTGTTTATTTTCTATTAAAAATCGTCTGCGTGATGCCATTTTAGTTTTTAGACGATATTAATATGTATGTTCGGATATGGGTAATTCCAGTTGATTTAAAATCGAGTTCATCAGAACAAATATAAGAAAAAGACTTTTGAAGTTTTTGTTCAAAACTAAGTTGTCGCACTCAGGAAACTCGATGTAGTACTAAGCGTTAACAAAAACTACATTCTCTTTGTCTCGTAAGAGTTTAAATTGATTTGAATTTTCACCTCATATAATGCTTATTAGTACAGGTATAAGTTAATTCTTTAGTGATTGTTGAAGTTGCTAACATATTTAATTATTTGAATCTCAATTTGTCTAGAGACTACGTAGTTGTGTTTTCAGAGATTTTTAATTTACGTGCCTTTTACTTGTTTTACCTCAAAAATGAACTGAACTGTGTGATGACACACACACACACATAAATATAGATAAAGGATGGAAGTTTTCTGGAAATTCATTGAGTTCGACCGTTTCCTGTCGTATATCTCTGGTCTGAGTTTTAAAAAGAAAGAAGAATTTTAATATAAGTACTACAAGTCATCACTTTAAATAAAATATAATTTTTTCAAATGATTAAGATTATTGGTAAATTCCTTGAGAAAGTGAAAGACCTTTTTATGCTGGAAAAACAATAAAACAAAGTTTGAAAAATTTACAAACGCTCCAAAATATAAGTTGCTCAATGAAGCAGTTAATAACGAAGTACCTATATCGAAAAAACGAAGTGTTCTCAATGAGCTTGAACCAACATGCTTCTTAGCTTCTCCATTATCAACATTTGTTCGAACAATAGTCAAATGAATATGTTTGGTTCAAACGAAAATGTTCAACATATCCTTTCTCTACACGTTGAATCTTCACCTCGATACGTTGAAAAAATGGTTCATAAAGAGAAAGCTTTCTTCTTAGTAACTACTTAACATTTACCCAATCCATGAAAGTCTACACTATCAGTCATATTTTGTATTAGCAACTAAACGAGTATATTGGAAGCAATTCCAAACAAATTCACACCAAAATGAATATCAATTTATGATGACAAATGTATAATGCAAGTAATTCATTGAATACAATGTCTAAACAATTAGAATATTTGTTTTTGTTGAAAATGGATATCACGTGGTACGCCCGTGGTTACAATTGTAGTTATCCACATTGAATGCGAAATCTTTTAAACTAATGCACTATTAGAATTAAGAATTAAAGTGACGAATGTTATTTTTTCTAATTGGCAAATGAATGTATGCTCAAGTTCATCAATATAAGTTTGAACGTATAGTTCACAGTTGCTGCTTGAAAGTATTTTGCATAAACGTTACAACTTATAACTGAATATGTACTCATATTTGTACTGAATTTATAACATGTGGATTGAACGGCTGTAACTTTCTGTAGAAAAATTGAATTGACAGAAGAATTAACTAACTTAGTCATGTCTCGCTTTTGCTAACGTTGCCCATATACATTTCCCTAAAGCATGAACATAGAACTTCGAATTTGTTGCATTGGAGATTACAATGCGTGTTCCCGATGGATGCTTTCTGATTATGATACGTACATCTATCTAGCTCGAAAAGAACTAGAAAACAAGCTTTTTCAAAAGTGGTTGAATACACATGGATTCGTTCTGTATCTTTTTTTCAAACTCGACAGTGGGTTTCGCACAGCCAGTATTAGACCTCAAAATAATATACTCAGCATAGGTTGGGCGAACCTAAATGTCCGTCGGAATGTACAATCCGAACTTTATTTCTTTATCCAAAGAAGATTATCAGTCTTGAAAGCGGAAAAAACAGAGTTTAATCAGAGTTAAATAACACCATTTTAGTCGATTTTATTCTGATTTTTCATCAAAATATTCTCCATGGCGTTTGCACCTAGCACCTGATAACAGCAACCAGGAATGTATATTATGCGAGCATTTTGGAAGCTTCATTTAGTCAATTCGATGACATTCCTCATTCATACACAAGATTAAGTGTACTGCCAACTGCAGTAAGTGGCGTAGGTTTTACTGAAGTGAACAAGTGTTACTAAAAATATTAATCGATCCGGTTCTTTGAAATAGGTCATTAGGCTTTTTACTTGTGAAATCGTGTGTTAATAAATGATGGTCTCCAAGAAATGGGAGCATGCACGAACGAATTTTACTCTTTAGATTCACTGAAGGGTTCAACTTACTTATTTCTCATGCTGTTATTTCAAGCATTAAATTGACCGACCTTATTCAACCCGTGGCTACTGCAATAATAAAGCTTTTACAATGTTTTAATAAATTACTACAATGTTTATGAAATTCCATCGTGAAGAAATTGAGTCGACTCGAACAATCAAAAATAGTCCAATTGAAAAATCTGGCCAGTATTGAAACCATATTGATGTTTGCAGAGATAGATGCAAGTTCGATCACAAAATACAAAACTGTTTACACTTTCTCAAACTTATGCAACAATTCAATTATCGACAATTCAAACGTTTTCTTACATCATCTCGACATAAGAACTTTACACTTGCATTCTCTATCGTCTGTCAATGTTTCTCTTTTTATTCATATATGTATCTGAACAACATGAGATACATAATTTGAGTTCAAATATAAATGAAGGTCTAACAGCTTGCTAACACTTCGAAAATAAACGTAAAGTAGCACCCATGTTAGAACGAGTAAAAAGCCAAAATTTATCTTTAGCCTTTTTAGCCATTAATAATATGGGTGTAATGATTTTGATCAGTATGGTATTCGTGGAAAATTTTGATTTTTGACTTTAGCTAGCTAAGTACCGATGATATTTTGAAAATTTCATCTATTTTCGAATTCGAATTAAGCAGCTACTCGCGGACACACATGTCAATCGACTGGAAGATTTGCTACCGACATGACGCTCACATTCCTTCTCCCCGCTTGTACTATTAGTCAGTGCTTTTTTTTCTGTATCATGTTTTCGCTGTTCCTTTCCTCCTCTGTTCTTCTATTTTCTTTCGTTATTTTGTTTTGTTTTCTCCTTGGCATTCGAATTGAAGATGACGTACAGAACAGTCGAATGCAGGAATCTCTCATAACTTGCTATACTCTCATCATGTAGACCCAGTTGTTGAAGTTTTCTTCTTCATCACTTGTCTATCATGAATGACGCTTCATACTCTACAGAGTTATATAAAATCTTTCCCTATTGAAAATCAACCTTTTTGAGGTGAACTGTATATTTTCACTTATTCTAATGATGCACGGTTCTCTGATCTGATTGAAACGGTTGACCGATCAGCTCGGATCAGTGTGAACTGGATTTAGTTTACTAGTTCAGCTCGTTTATGAACAGAATCAAGTTTTCGCATACCTAGTCAAGTCCAAAAACGAAAATTTTACCCGTGCTTTGACCTGTGACATGATCCTCGATGATACCTTGTACCCTATCTGAACTGTAATACACTAGCTCTATTTCGCATCAGAAATCAAAGCTATTTCAGAATGATGGAATTTTGTTTCCTTCAGATGTTGCCTACTACCAAAGCAGACATCGTACGTATACCAGCAACCGATCCAAATATTGAAGATGAAATATTAAAACATCTTGAACGTGATGGTGTCGTGATTGTTACTGGTATGTTTTCTAAAGATCATATTGAACAAGTGAAAAAAGATCTTGCACCTCATTTCGACGCGGACATTCCCGACGAATCAGGTTTCTTTCCAATAACAACACAACGAGCCAATGCTGTCTTTGGCATTTCACGAGGTTGTGTCGATATGGCTATGAATCCTTTGTTATTAGCTATAGCCAATAGACTGCTAACATCGACCTATACCTTTTATCGTGGCTCGGAAAAGTGCAAAGCTGTTTCAAAGCCAGTCATTTCCTCTGCTATCGGCTTTCGTATAAAACCTGGTGGTCGACAACAAGGACTTCACCGCGATGACGAAGATTATCACGCGCGACCATGTGATCGGCCAGTGATGGTTAGCTATGTGACTGCTATAACGCGAACAACCAAGAATAACGGAGCAACCATCGTAATTCCTGGTTCACATTTATGGGAAGACGAAGATCGCATGCCATTAGTAGAAGAAGCGATACCTGCTGAATTAGAACCTGGTGACACGACAATGTTTCTAGGTAATCTTTACCATGCCGGTGGCGAAAACCATACTCAAGATGAACAACGTGAAACAGTCGGTATATTCTTCGCAAAAGCATTCTATCGTCAAGCAGAAAATGAATATCTTTCGGTACCACCTGAACGATGCAGAGAGCTTAAATTAACTTCAGAGGAATTACGAGTACTCGGTTATGGAATTTCACAACCATCTTGTGGAACCTTCAATTACAAAGATCCAATTGAATCTATTTTCGGAATTATCGATAATCAGACTATTAAACTGTAGCAAAAAAGAATTCGAATGACTTACAGACTTGTTTGCTTCTCAATATCTCTGAAACTGACTATAACTTATATCAGTTTTATTGACAAGTGATTTGATTTTTATTTTATTCAATAGTTAGCGCATTTAGAATCAAGTTATAAAACTTGCCAGATTAATTTCTTTTTCAACGAAACAATAAAAAAGTATTGTTGTCTATGACTAGCCCGCACAGTCTTGTACACACTGTCGAGAATGTCTTGATACGAAAAACAAAAATGCTTGAATATATATTTGGTGTTTTAACCTATTGAGCTGATTTTTCGTGATAGTAGAAAAGAGTTCAAAGTTTTATTCATCCTTCATAGAAAAATTCAAGCATTTCGGTTTCAAAAAAAAAAAGGAATATGAGATGTTCCATGTTTTTATTATTCGAGATTTTTTCTTTAATCTCGACTTCAGTTCATCGACATTTTTCACTACTAATTTGAAAGCATATGTGTTCATATGTATATATATATCAACATAAAAACAAATCCATTTCTGTCAAGTCTGATGATCATGAGACCCATGAAAATAGTCCATCTTTTCGAATCCATCGGCTATCAAAAATACTTTACGATGAATACTTCGACTAGAGCGTAAATATTTCTACACTTGAATGAATGATTTTACTGAAGCGTTTGTATTTATGCTATGCAATAAATAATTTTGCTTGGATTCAAATATTTCTACACTTGAATAAATGATTCTAGTAGAGCGTATGTATTTATGCTGTGCAATGAATAATTCTGCCTGGATTCAAATATTTGTATATTTGAATGAATGGTTCTAGTAGAGCGCATGTATTTAGTCTCTAAATTAAATAATTCAGTTGGGATTCAAATATTTTTACATCTGAATGAATGATTCTACTGGATTGCATATATTAATTCTCCACAATGAATATTTCTGCGTAGATGCAAATATGTCGGACTTGGATGACTAATTCTATTCTAGTATAAATATTTCTGCTATTACATAATATACTTCTAACAGCAAATGTGAAATTCATTTTACAAGTAGTTTATTTAGTTGACGTTTCATGCTTTCATACTCGTTTGCAAGGCACAAAATGCAATGAAAAAAAGAAAGAAACAAAATTCAAAAGTATACGATTTATAAAGAAGTCTGAAAAAGAAAAAAAGGGCAGAACCTCAAGTTATAGTTAATTATTTTAGTTCAACAAATAAAGCTTTTGTTGTTTTCATGCTGTCGTATATAGTGCTTGCTTTTGAATTTTGGTTTAAATACAATTAGGACTTTAGGAGATAGAATAAGAAGTATGAAGCATATGGATTTGTTGAATTCAAGTTATTGTTGTTGAATAGAGAACAATACTTTTATAAGTAGTCGATATAATCGAGAATCTTCATTTATCATTACCAGCAGAATGAATCATACAGTCGAATTCGATAAGATTCGATCAGATCTTATCAGTTCATCAGAGTGCTGCAAAAAAACCATTGCAAATTAGAACATTTAATGACACGCGAATCCTTAGCGTTGGAATCTAATCGGATCCCATGGTCAGATTTAACAGAGCTTTCAGTACTCGAATTTTATCAGTTTCCTGAAGGAGTCAGTGAAACTTCAACACTCATGATTTGAAGTGATTTCCCACGCTAGTTGTCATACGATCAAAGAGAATCTAACAAAATTATATAAAATCCAACGGTGATACTGTTCGATCTCAATAGGATATATAACCACTGATCACAACTTAAAAACTGATGTTATGCGACCGATTACCTTACATAGATTGAATAGTCTTACAGCAACATACTCTCATAGATTGTGACTGAATTTCGATGATTGTCAACGACTTAACAATCAAATGATTCATAAGTTATAATATCAAGAGCTGTATCTCATGAAAACTAGTGTAATAAAGCATCAGCAGAACGCTAGAAGTTTATTTACAGAACGCAACATCCAGTCACAAAAAAATCTTGTTTATAAATACATGATTAACCACACCGACCGGAAGAAACCTAACATACTGAATACCAAACAACATGAATCATAAAAACTATCGATTTACTATAAACTAAAAAGTCAGCAGCTGCAAGAAATTAATCGAACCATCACTTTTTTCACACATATTGAATATTACAAGAAGACAGTATAACAGCATTCGTTTATTGGACAGGAAAATCTTCTGAACCTTAAACTTACCGAAAATAGAGATCATTTCCGTTATGATGGTTTCGAAACTTCGCTCATTTTTTACTTTACTTTAAAAGAAAGTGTGATCCTCTATGTCTAAAGGGCGCAATGTATCTGAAGTAAAGATTTGAATCTCTTCTGAAGATGCACGTTACTAAAACAAATTCTATTTCATGCATTAAACGAAAAAGTGCAAAAGTATTATTTGATGCTTACTTTTACAATAACTAAGGACGATAGTTTAAAGGTATATATGTAGTGTTGAAAAGCATCATAATGCGAATTTTCTCGTCTCCGAAAAATTTTACTCAAAGTTTTTAAGAAATCCTCAGATTTTCAAAATAATCGTACCTGCCTGAAATATCCTAACTCGAAACCTTTCATCAATGTGTATACTGCAGATGTGAAGTTCCCACTGTGAGCTAACATTTTACTATTTTCAACAAACAGAATCGATACAGTTCGCATGGTGGATCTTTTCATAACATACAGAATTCGTTAGAGATTCAAAAACATTGGTGGAAGCCTATCAAAGATGAGAATTCCTATCGTTTCCAACAGTTGAATATTATAGAATATTTTATCAGAATCTGATTGTCGAATCCGTCAGTGATTTCATAACTCAAATTTCTATCGAATGATCAGATCTCGTGAGATCCGATAGAATTTGTTATCAAATTCGTTCATCTGAATTGTCATTTGATTGTATGATTGGATTGAACTTGATGGTTACCTATTAACGATTTAACCTTTGGATCAGCTTTGTGTAACAATACTTCGTTTTCTATCAACTGTCTCTTGTGTTAAAGATTGCAATTGTCTTGATTTTTCATGACCGACGTCAGTATTGGGTTGATGGAGAAGACTGATCAATCTGAACCGGACCGGACCTATCGGTAACTTATTGTCAATTCCATTTGTCTTACGTGTTACACAACTTACAGTACGGTCACTATAATACATTTGAGACAGAAAAAGTTAAAACATTTATTTATTTTAATAATAAATGGAAAAGAACGTCTTCATCATTGATAGTAAATTATTTAAGATACCATTTTTCAAAAAAATAAATAAACTCGAGTCTAAGTTACAAAATCACAGTGAAGATTATCAATATAGCAATTATTTTTATTCTACGTTTATTTTCATATCACAAAATACAAAATATTTATTTTAAACTTAAACGACTGAACGTGTATTGAAACTCATCGGGTGTATCAAACGCACCGTAAACAAGAAGATTAATATTGGAAAGACAATTAATCGGAGTATAAATTTCGTAAGTTTCTGTTTCTTTGTTACATTGTTCAATCCAACCTGGAAAAAAAATGATATTTAGAAACTGGAAAAAAAAACTTATTTTTCTTACCAAAACCTAAACATTCAAAGAATTCATCTTGATAATTCAACAACTGAAATATTTCACCAGTAGAAACTGCCAAATTTCGTAACTAAAATTCAATAAATATAATTTGTTAATAAGAATAAATTTTATTTTACTTGATCAATTTTTTCACTTGAACATAATGAAACAATTGAATGTTCAAGACTATCAGGTATTACAGTTGAATTTTTATTCGTCTTATCAAGCAGAGATACATGAACAAGTTGTGACCATGGCAAGTGAATACGTGAAAGATTTGATGAAGAGAAAAAATAAGACCAAGTAGCAAGAAGACGATGATCACGTGGACGTAATTTTAGTGTATTACTAAAAAAGAAAAGAAATCAGTGTCCAGAATTTTGTTTTTCAAGAAATTAATAAGAATTATTTTACCTATTGATTTTATTTGATATTGCTGCTGATTGTATTTTGATATATTCATAATTCAATTGTCCATCATAATCTTGTTGTCTTCTATCATTCATTTGCATTTGACTCTAGAATATACTATGAAGTCAAAGAGATAAAGATTATAAGTTAAATCTTACTCGATATGGCACAAAAACTGGCTGTTGTAATAACCATTCAAGTGTCAAGTCAGGCATTTTATTTCGATCTTGAGATGAAGTTATATTATCTCCTAATTGAATGACAACATTTGGACAACACATACATATTGTTTCTTTGATTAGTTCAAGGCCAAGACCTAGACAAAACAAAAATAAATTGTTAAAATAAACCATAAGATGAAGAACCATTTTTGTTTTCTAAATATCGTTCTCAGGAGTTTAGAAATTACGATGAATATGTTAAGATAGTGATAAGAACAATACAAGAAAGCGATTGAACTACTATCGGCGCCAGAATTCAAGGCAGTCGGATGTTTTTTGAATAACTTTTGATAGGAACAAGATAAAGACCTGCGGTTTTCAGCGTTTGGTAGTCAAGACCCAGGAGCATATTTTCATAAGCAAAATCTTTTCTGAGAAAAATTTCGAAGATAGGTTTTTTAGAGGATTTCTGGAAAACCACGCTAGATTTCTGAAAACTGCTATAGCAGTCTATTAATTTTTTTACATATTCGGAATCAGCATAAAAAACTGAGTCGAATCACGTATGTTTTGAATCTTTTCACGAACTTTTTTTTATCGAAAAATTCACCCCTGGTCTTCCTGAGGGTAGATCAAAAAATAAAGTTAGTCAAAAAGTCACTTGGATAACGGAAAACAAGTTCGGAGCTTCTAAAATGCTAGTATAACATAAAATGGCAAATGAATACACAATGAAAACGGAGTTTTGACTGACTTCATTTTTTGACCTACCCCTCAAGGGAACCAGGGATGAATTTTTCGATGAAAAGAAAAAGTTCGTGAAAAGATTCGAAACATACATGATTCGACTCAGTTTTTGATGCTGATTCCGAATATGTAAAAAAATCAATAGACTGCTATAGCAGTTTTCAGAAATCTAGCGTGGTTTTCCAGAAATCCTCTAAAAAACCTATCTACGAAAATTTTCTCAGAAAAGATTTTGCTTATGTAAATATGTTTCTGGGTCTTGACTACCAAACGCTGAAAACCGCAGGTCTCTATCTTGTTCCTATCAAAAGTTATTCTAAAAAACATCCGACTGCCTTGAATTCTGGCGCCGATAGTAGTCTTCGATTAAGTAAAGGAATAAGTCTTGAAAATCTTTTTTTATACCTGATGCGAAAAACTCTGAACTAATTTTTTCTAGATCAGAAACAGCGGAAAAAAATTTATTGAAACTCTACACACTTGGCCATATACATTTAGAAATTTTTCTATTCTTCTTCATTTCAAGTTAATGTATGACTCAAAGAAAATTAATCTAATGCTTGTCTCATTACAATGTGATAGCATGTAAATAAATCGATTGATTATGAAAATTCAATCAAAGACAATTTTGTCTATCAGACCATTATTATTCTGAAAAATCGCATTGTTCATCAATATGAATATTTGACTGAAGTATTCAATGTTTTTTTATTTAACAATGAAAAAATTTATATAAAATAGCAAACTCATTTTTTTTTTTCGTTTCGAAAAAATATCAACTTTTCTTTGCATAGAAATCTGACAAGATTACAATGTGTTTGCTCATGAAGCATATCTTCAATAATTAAATAGAGATTGTCAAGTATCTTCAATCGAAATAATATGCACATAATTACCATCTGATGCATCCATATATGTTCATGATCAATCTTCAGTCATTACTATCAAATATTTTTACATGCTTTTCATCTAATTATTGAGTTATACTTATTATATTTCGTTTGGTCTACGTAAAAACAAAACCAATATGAATGAAGTATATTGAAACAAAGAAGAAATATCTGATCACAAAATTCATGTTGCTTTTCTCTCGATTAACCATATTTAATAGTAATTGCATATAGACATTATGCTTATATATTTTGATTGTGTTGATAACGTTATTTTCTTCTCGTTTACTAGGATCACCTAAAAGACAGAGATTATTTGTGAAAAAAGATTTGTATATGTTATGTCATTACTCAATATACATGAGCATATCACTTAAATGCATTAGGCTACTATTTATTCAACATAAAAATGTGTAGAGAAACAATAAAAGATAATAGTGGAGAGTCCACATTTAATAATTAAATTATTAATAGCAAAGATAGAGATTTTTATCGTTGAATTAACAACATAATGTTTTATTTCATTTAGGATTTATTTCAAATATTTATCAAAATTCTTTCCTGTTTTTATACTTACTTTAATTGTACAATATGCTTCAAAAGTTTCACATTACTTTCGACTTTCAATTTTATAAATTAAAAAAAAAACACTTTAATTTTATATGATAGGGTGACAAAACAAAACACAGTATGATATTTTTTCAATAAGTTTATCAATAAAATGATGATGATTGAATGAAAATAGTTAATCTTTGTCTTGCCTTAGGCTAAATTTGACAATCTAGAACCGAAAAATCGCTTGTCAATGTCAAATTAGTGATCCTTAATATACGTAGAAAAGTGTTGAATTAGATCTGTCAGAATGCCAATATACTTATCATTTAGAATCATCATTGGAACGAAGTCAAGGTAGATCCAGTAGAACATAATTTATGTTGTGTTGCAGTGAGCAGAAAGCTGATACGAAAGAAAAAAAAAATTCTGATTTCGTCCAGAGCTTTCGATTCGTGCACGCTGAACAGATGTTTCTAAGCAGGGGACCATTCGAACAGGTATCCGTCTTTTAGACTTACAAGGACATCTTGATGAGACTAATAGAAGCGTAAAGGATTCTTAGCGATGAGTCTTTGAAGTCAAGTTATAATTATTTTTCTGAATTCAGCCCTTTTAAAATTCAGATTTTAGTCGAATTCTTTCTGCAATGAATATAGCGCTAGAGAAAACTTTCGTGCTCCTCTATCATATCGTACCTCGTTTTGGATTAGGTAACTCAAATTTATCAATATTTTAGATTTATTATTATAGTCATGAAAATGCTTTATCTATGACATATAATTAGTTGTAATTAAAACTAATGTAAGTGTCAAAAGAATTGAATTAACACGATAGAAAGCTTTATGGAAAAATTCGCAATTCCATTATTGTGCAGATATTTCAATAACCTTACCAAAGTCACAATAATTTATTTTTACTTAAGCTGTCGTTGTCTAGAAATATAGCCTGAAAATGTTAGGTTATCATAGTATTTCTTTATCGAATAATTGAATGTTTAGCAAATGTTCCGAAATAGATTTTTTTTAAAATTTCTATTTTCTTCTAACTAACGGTAGAGTGTTTTCGAAAGAAAGACACTTATTTTATAGTATTTTTCCAGCTCTATCTATTGCAAAAGAATTCGATTTAAAAAAATAAATCTTATGAACTCAGAAATCAAACTTTGTAAGGAGCTAAGTCTCTGTTACCACTCTGTAGTATATTGAAAAATCAAATGTCTAGTAGAATATCTTGTAAATTTCAGATGACGAAAATATTCCTTTGTCGAAATATTCAACTTCAAAAAAAAAAATAGTCGTTTAGCCACAAACGTGTTAGAAAAATCGAGTCTACTTGAAAATTCACATGGGCAAAATTTTACAAAGGCTGATAGAAACAAACAATTTTAGGATTTTCACTAATCTCATCACGATGTTCTTACAAGCTGACAATGAGGTCAAACAATGTGTATATATTCAGATTTTTTTCTCGTAATTGTATATATATTGATATAAAATTAGTCTTTACATGTTGTTTTAATGCTTTCTTCAATGAATCTTGCTTGATGTCTCATACGTTACATATAACTACGTATTATTTTTTACATCCTACATTATGAAATACTCTTTTTAGCTTTGATCCATTGTAAACTTTTGTTTTATCTTAAGATAAACATACATGATATAAATGAAGCACATGGATTGAAGGACGTCATATTATTTGTTCGTTTAACTTATGATGTATGAATATTTGTAGAAAGATCTTCATTATTAACAATATTGTACTAACGTTTTTCATATTGTTTTTTTTTACTATATTTTTAAATTAAAAATCAATTTTAGTGCGAGATTTTTGACGTACATTGTAATCTTTTAATTCTATTTGAATCTTTATGATTAGCTATAATTAATGCATGTTATATATGTCAGTGTTATATTCTTCTAAATAAAGAAACATAATGGGTTGGATAAATAGAAACTAGATATAAAACTTTAATTGCATTCTGAGCTATGGCATTAGAAAACTTGTGTTAAGTTTTCATGAATACGTCTTTTTTTTTTTATTGAAGAAATAACAAAATAATTAAACAAAACCAGAAAGTAGAATAGTTTATTTTTGTAAGCCTTTATTATATTTGAATTAGCTATTTTTATAAATAATTATTTCATCAAAAATCAAAAAAATTTGTTGTCATATACATCATATTTTATTATATTTATATAGAAAAAATAATCATTTAGTGTCGTGTTTCTTAGTTCGTTCAAACAATGAGATAAACTAAAGAATTGCGAAATATATGATTAGTAATTTGATTCTTGTAAGCACAAGAAAAGAAAGAAGTAATCGTATTCCAATGAAATCAAAAACGAGAATAATTTGCTTGTCTTATTATCATCTCAATGGAAGTTTGTAGTAGTTGAGAGCAACACTTGATAATTGCTGGTCGTTAATGCATCATTCAATGAACCAAATAGTCGTTCGTTTTTCTTTTTTTTTTTTCCTTTTTGTATCTAAATGGTAATTTTCTTTTACATTGTACAACGACATCAATCGATTTTTGACAAGCATTATTAAGTGTACTACTGTCGATGTTGATGATGGTTATTTGATTATGTTAAAATCATGCCGACATATTTGTTAGAGTTGAACTAGAGGATTATCTTAGACGAATACCATCAATTATAATCGAAGATTGTGGTCACACGTTTGTGTAAATAGATGCAAACGCATGTGTCTAACTAATACAAATAGATAGAAAAGGAAGAGTTTCACTCAATGAATTCTTTCTCTTTACTCAATGTAATCGCACACCAATTAACAGATTTGCGTATATGTGCCTCTAGAGAGGAAGACAACTACGATCTTAATTCCCTAGCCAACAATTATTTTACATCAACAAACGTATATATGCACTAGTTGTCGAGTATCCCATGGTGACCATTTTGGACTTCGAGAGATACAAACAAACAAAATATGATGTATTTCCATAAGGAACGATGTTGATCATTATTGTATAACAGATTTTAAAAAAAGAAAAGAATTTTTTCTATTATGACGAGAAATCTATATTTTCTTTTCTTTTTTTTTTGATATTATTCGATTATCGACAATGCTGAGTGCTGAATCGTATTCATAATGTCATTGTAATAAAACACCTTTCGTCTATTTACACTCGACCATTTTTTTGTACATGCACATATGACCTGGTATGAACAAATTTTTTTACCGAGTAATGTATAGAATTGCTCATTTTTCATTTAATGTATGCAATGAATGGATGATTTTCTTTTTTTTTTTTTAAAGTTTTGCTTCTTTTCTTTTTAAATATTGTGTTTTTTTTTGACGTAGGAACAAGTGTACTAGATGCATATCATTCTCACAGGGCATAAATGCCATGATTCTTTCGTTTAATATATACAATCGTTTTTTCTTTCTTCTCTTCTCAGGTCATGTTATTATTACCTCTATTATAATACTTTCTTTTTCTTTATTATGTGAATGTTATTCGTTGCTCATCGATTGAATTTAATCTTAAGCTGGAATGTATCTATAATAAACTAACGTACTATCATTCGTCATTTTATTATTATCGGCACATTTTTTATAACTGTTGTCAGGCAATAGTATCAATAATCGACGAGCTGTGAGGCGATAGCGATGGCGTCCTGCATCCATCATTTCCTCAACTTCTCGCTTTTATCTCGTTTCTCACTCAACTCATTTAGTAGAGATTCATTCGGTTGGTTTGCATATTTCATACCTCTTGACTAATAAAGAGAAAGAAAAAAAAAACGAGAAAAGAATGAGCAATGCTTCCAGATGTATTTATTGATAGCTGTGGTGGTATCCGACCTAATTGAAATAGAACGCAAATGCAATCTACTTCTTTTTCCTTTTCTTCTTTTTTTTATTTTCAGATATTGATAAATAATGTATTCTGATTTAATTGATGATGATCTATTATCAGAATCTTTAGTTTTACCTTCTTCAACGTTAATTAAACCTATGATTAATATTAATAATAGTGGTGAGTATAGAAAACTGCTTAAGTATACATATGGAATAAGTGATGACAATTATATATGAAGTTTAACGGGTGTCAGATGTGTATATGTAAGAAACGACAACAACAACAACAACATACTAGAAAATTACCATTATTTGGATGCATGTTTATTCATTTTCAATTAATATATGTCTGCTAAAAAGTTTGTCAATCAGATTATTATTATCATCATTAGAACAATCTTATTCATTTTCATTTGTAGAGAATATTTAATGATGATTTACAATGAGAATTTTACTTTTTTAAACTTATAATAAATTCACGACATATTTAATTACGTAATATTCTTATATATATATATATATAATAAAAGAAAAAGAAAAAAAAAATTAAATAGAATTTATTCGATGAACTTTTCAACACAATAAGTAAAGTTTATTTTATATATGATAAGAAATAAAGTAATAAAAAGAGATTAGTAGTTAAGTTTATCGATCTTTATTTGAGATTTGAATCATTTGTGACTATATATTTTAAATAACATCTGTTAGTCATATATAATAGTATGTGGTATGCATATTTATTCGTATGTCACATTGACACTCAAAAAAAAAAAATAATTAGCATCATAATCTAATTTAATATTTTCTCATTTTATTTCATCAAAATGACTTGATTATGTATCAATAGATTTAATTACACTTACATATTATCAATGAATATTTTCAATTTAATTGTTTTCTCATTCACTTGATTGCTGTGTGGTCGTCAAATACATCTTAGGCCCAGGAAGAATGTCGCCGCTTCCTTATCGCCGTTTTTTTTCTCTCCATGCGACAATACCTTTATCCTCGTCGTTCTTCGTCTTCTTCGTCGTTACTATTTCGCATAGATGTGAAGAGATAATCAAGTGCCGCTACAATATAATATAGTGTGTATACATAAGGCATACTCGTCCCCCCAGGAGGACCATGAATGTGCTAAAAGAGAAAGAAAAAAAAAACGAGAAATAAGTATCTTGTGGTTTTAATTAGCTCATTCAGTTAGAGGTGATTGTGAATAGAGATTTTTTCATCGTTCTCTTCGTCATCATTTAGCAATTTGCTTCTTTTTTTTTTTCTTTTTTTTTTCGTGTCCTATCGTATGTATGTATAAGAAGAACAGAACACACGCCACATCCACGTCTTTTTTTTGTAACACACGTACGCACACATACACAGTTAGATTCATTTCTTTTCAAAAAAAAAAGAACACACCGCTAAACGCTGCGTCAACGACGAAAGATATCCATACATGGTGAGAGCAAGTCGAAGCACGCGTCGACGCGCTGTTGCTTCTGCAACAGGTGAGCCTAAGAAATCCTATATAAAATTGATTAAGTAAAAAGCTTTTTTCGATCTGTTAAAATCGATAATCGCTTTTAGCTCACTAGAAAAGCTAATGCTCTTGACATTCAGTATGTCAAGTTTTATTTTTGTCTTCTTCTCTGTCAATTTTTTTTAATGCTTTTACTCATTCATCTATTAGTGATTTGAACATTTTTTTTAATAATGACAATCAATTCTTTACAATCTGTCTATATGACAAACGACGAAAAACATTATATTTTCAATTAAATAAAAAAAAAAAAAAAAAAGAAAGACAAAGAACAGTTGTTGATGTTAGTTATTGACTTGACTATGAGAATTGAGAATAGAAATAATGAAAGATGAGATTGCATACTTGACAAATCAATTTCGATGATTAAAAAACTAGAATAAACTTGGCTTAACAGTCATACAATAATAGTGAATTTTTAAATTAAGAATTCTCTTATTTACGACTAATGATCTTATATATGTCTATTCATTTGATGTTCTATATATAGACATCACATATGTTTAACTAATTTGAATTGTCATTAAAAAAAACGGAGAATGAAGCACCAGTTAGTATTTTTTTTCTCATTTTAATTCAAATTTTTTTTTTCTAATGAATTTTTACTGTCGATCGATAGTATACATATATATATATAAGAACTCGAAGCCAACATATCTTCTCTTTTTCTTCAATTCATTAATTGACAACGTCTATTTGTAATATAATGGAGAATCGAGAAGAGAATCATATTGTGATGTTAGTTAGTGCTTGTATGATGATGAAGAAAATAGAAAAGAGAAGGCAAAGAGAGAAGGGAGAGAGAGAGAAAGAAAAAACGAGACCAAGTTTTGTTTCTGTGCACAAACGAGACGAGACGAGTAGCGCAAGTTTGCCTGATAGAACATTATATGTACGGAATATTCTGCTGAATGGATATATAAGTACTGGACGACATATATATCAACAATAATATTCATTTTTTTGGCATCAACATCATAAAAGTATTATCGACGATTATTATTATTCCATTTTTCACATTATGATTTATACAGGTAGATTTCAAAAGATAGAAAGAAAAAAAAAATTGTCATAAGAAAAAGCAAAAATTGATTAAGAAAGTAATTAAAAATTAATTTATTTTTCTATATGTGTAAGAAAAGAAATAAAAACATAATGTACATTTGCTTTGTTTTAATACGAAAAATATTTCTTTCATCATTATAATCATTATTTATTAATTAATATTTTATGTTTTTCTATGCTATTCGTTATGCTCGATTGTTTCTAGGCAAACTTGACTTTTATTTTTAATAAATGTAATAAAAAAAATTATTCTAGTTAACTTTATAAATCGAAAAACAACATTCATGCCAATCATCATCTGTAGAATTGTTAACTGTATGTAGTCGAGAACTTTTTTTTGTTATTATTTTCTTTCGCACCTGCTGTCGTACTAACAACGAAGGGCAAAAGTAATTAGAGTAATTGCCCAAACAATGATTCGATAGTTTATGCTATTCTTTTTACTATTTGATACAATTTACGGTGATGTTACTATTGTGATCGTTATTTCGTTCATCTTGTGTAACTATTACCATTCTGTTAATGACTTTTTTTTTTGTTTTCTTCTGATCACATTTATTAGACCCTTTTCTTTTTCTTACCCTCATGTGTCAAGTAGAAAGAGAGAATCTCATCTCATTCATATACACGCACAATCGTCATCGATCATCATCTCATAATTGGAAAATAAATTGAAATCGAGATGTATTAGTAATAGGAAAAGAACGACGTACATGAATATTAATTACCCTCTTGTCATTCATTTTTTTCTAGGCAATAATAGTAGTTCAGTTCTATTAATGCAACCTAAACTCGAATCACAACCGCTTGTATTTGATCAACAACAACCGCCAACATCACAAACAAAAATGGTACCTATTGCACCACGTTATGATTCAAATCAACTAAATACAACGAATACAAATGTATATACATGTTCAAATTGTACACAACCAATTCATGAACGTTATTTTCTTCGTACACAAGATCGTTTATCTCGTGGAAGTTATTGGCATATGCAATGTTTACGTTGTCAATGTTGTGATGTACTTTTAGCTGATATAGCTTCAACGTTTTATACAAAAGATAATGCACTTCTTTGCAAATCTGATTATATAAAGTAAGAATTCTTTTTCTTGCTTTCTTTTTCTTTGTTTTTGGAAGGAAAAAAAAAAAAAAAAGAGCAAGGGTTTCATTTTTTTTCTCTATTTGGCCTTCAATAACAAAGAATAATTTCTTTTTTTTTCAATTAAATGAAGACTTATTATTTCTTCATCTATTCGAAATAAATTAAATTATTGGCATCTGGTTTTTGTTTAATTATAGAAGATATGGTAGTCGTCCATGTTCATTATGTAGTCAAGTGATTGGAACAAATGAACAAATAATGCGTGTTAGTCCAAATTATGTTTATCATCTATCTTGTTTTACTTGTGTTAAATGTCATACACCTTTAGTTAAAGGTGATCGTTATGTTCTTTTTAATGGACAACCATTTTGTGAAAAAGATAATCCACTTAAATCAACAACAAATATTAATAATAGTCCCGCAACTAAACGCGGCGGTACTACGAGTAAACGTGGAGCAAAAGCAGGACGAGCTGCAGCTACAGCTGCAGCAGCAGTACCAGTACAACAAACATTTGTAACACCTCCACAATATCATCCTACAGGACATATATCACTTTTAAATAATCCTCATACTTCAAGTACAATCACACATTCGTTGCTCAGTAATAATAATAATAATAATAATAATCTAAACAACAACGGTTTTTCATCAACTGCAACACCAAATAATGATGATTTGTATTAAAATGTTACAATCGAATGAATTGTTGTCTTTTTCTATGCACACTTGTTGCCTATTTGTTTATATCTTTTGTAATTGTTATAAAAGAAAAAAAAGATATATATATGTTTATATATATATATTAGAAAAAAAAAATTTTTTTTTTTTTTTTTTTTTTTAATATGAACGAGATTCTACTGTATAAGTAGTAAATCATTTTTCAAATGATAGATAATTTTATATTGCATTCAATAATGGTCATGATGACCTTTCTTTTTCCTGTTCTTTATTAGTTACTAAAAGTATCATTGCTATCGTTCGGTCTTTTATTATTTATATTTATGAAGATAGATTTCTTTTTGATGATGATTAGAGAATAGATGTGCAAATGAGATGTGAATTGGTATGAGAAAAAGAAAGGTCATCATGACCATTATTGAATGCAANCAAACAACATCATGTTTTATCCGTACAATAGTAGAGAAAAGTTACCAGCTCACACAATAAGCTGGCAACTTTTCTCTACTACAGTACGGATAAAACATGATGTTGTTTGGGCCAATCCAAGGTTATCTAGGATCCTCTTTTATATGACCCGAACAATAGTATGCTTTATCCTTACAATACAAAGAAATATTAATGGGGCCTCCGGCTAGGTTGACCAGCCTCATATATATAACATATGACATAGAATAATAACAAATTAGAGAATCGTATGACAAATGTATCAATTTGGCTAGTGAAAATAATAGCGTACAGCGCTTGCACTTTACGTATTGAAATCCGGTAGTTTTCAGGTACTAGAAGACGTGATGAAAGTTTGCTTTTAATAGTGCAATGCAAAAGAGGAGAAAATTCGAAAATAAAGGGATCAACACATTTTTTATGGTCTTCTCTTAGGAATTTACTAGCATTTTTTTATTAGCGATATAAGCCGAATGACTGAGTCATCGCGGCACAAAAATACATATTTGATTTTTAAAAATTTCTGACGTTCCAAATTATTTACCGTGCTTTCTGAAAATGCATTCAAAATCTCTAATTTCAATTCTCAGTTGAGCGTTTTCACATCTATTCAGATAACACAAAAAGGCAAGAAGAACAAACTCTTCCCTTTCAGCTGCTGACTAGTTATCACTCTGGACAGAAGACTAGGCTGACACAGACTTCTTGTGTTTTCCATACACACTAACTTGTGGATACGTGTCAAACAACGTAACCACTCAGCCATAGCGGCTGCATGAAAAAGCAACTTTTGCATGTAGGAAATATGCAAAATTCATTTTCTACAATATTTTGAGAAAACCTTTTGGCCGTGCTTCCGATGCAAATGTTGCTTTTTAAAGGGACTTTATGTACCTTTTATGATGAACGTAGCTAATTTTGATATTTCCTGAATGACATGTAAATGCTCAAATGAGAACTGTGATTAGAATGTTTAAACATATTTTTCAGAAATTCTTTTCTGCTTGTGTTTCACACCTTCTGAGACTTGCAATCTATCGTGTTCAATCTTCAGAAAAGATCACTATGTCGATCTTAGTAAGTTACTTAGCATCACAGATAGAAGAAAATGAAAATTACCTGCTTCGAATAACTTTGAGCAGTACTCTATTTAAGCTACTCGTCACAGAATATTCTACATTTTTCATTTTATTCAAAATAGATGTTCTGTTCGAAATAATCTAAGATAGATTATATGTTATCTTTCATAAATGAAAAATTCTCATTTATTCAGTTCTACGGTATAGATCGAGAATTTTTTTTTGAGCGTCCTATGTAGAATAAATATTTTACTTTTTCGTCGTCAGTTGATTCCTCCGATTCACTTTCTTCATCATCTTCTTCCTCTTCACTACTATCACCACTTTCATCTTTATCTTCTTCAATATTATTTGTTGATTGTGCATCTAATTGTTCATATTCATTTGTATGATTTTCATGTTGTATTGTTGTTTGTTTTTCTTTTTCATCTTCTTCGTTTTGCTCTTCTTCTTCTTCTTCTTCTGCTTCATCATCATCATCATCTTCTTCATTATCTGTATCAGGTCCTTCAGTTGATGTTTCTTCTTCCTCTTCATCTGAATAGAACTTATCATTATTAACACTTTTCTTTTTTTCTCCAAATGTCGCTCCTGTAGTTGTACTTGATCTTTTTGATGAGACATGTTGTGATGGTACTGGAATTACTATTTCAACATTACGAACACTTGGATCTGGTGGTTCCAATGGAAAGTCCGGTAAATCATTATAACCTACTGCTTTTTGTCCAATAACAAATGATAAAGTACCTAATGTATATCGATCATGATCTAAATATAAAACAAAACAATAAATATCCATAAAAAAAAATAATTATTATACCTCGAATAATTGATTCGAGAATAGGTGCTGGTTTAGGTGCTAATAGAATCTTTTTTGCATGTTTACTTAATGTTGGACATTTATCAGTTTGTATTAATAATGCTCTATAGAGAAATGAAAGTTACATAAATATCAAAATATAATTCTTATATTACCGAAGAAGTCGTGCTTTATCTCGAGTATCATAATTAGTATCATATTTAGCTAAATTAAATACATATTGAACTAATAAATGAGTTTGTTTAGCATTAACAACATAAAGTTTAGCAGCTAAATTTAATATTTGATGTTTAACTATTGTTTCCTAGAAAAACGAACTTATTTAAAAATGAAAAAAGAAAATTTTCGTAATGAACTTCATCAGCAAATGATTTTGCCATTTTTCTTAATACATCTGGTGCTAATTTACTAATACGATCAGAATATTCACCAATAAGCCATAATATAGAAGCACGTGCTATTGGAACAGTAACTTTATCAACCATTCGAACAATATGTTTGATTATTTCATTATATTCTGATGGCTAAAAGAGAAAATAATTTTATTTTTATTTATAAAATAAAATTTTTTTTTTTTTTACATTAATTTGTAGTAATTTTTTAATAACAACAACACTTTCAGCAACAATTGTTTCATCTTTTTTTGACATTAATGCAACAAGGCCATTTAAACAAGCTTCAGTAACTTCAGATATAGTACTTGCACATCGTCCAATTGCATGAATAGTATGAGCAGCAAAATCTTTATCTGAACTTAAAACATATGTCTAAAAAAAAAAAACAAAACCAACAATAATCAAGATTTATATTAAAAATTGAAATATAAATTTATATATACTTGAAATTCTCGAAGTATTGTTGATATATTCGAAGCATTAGCTAATGTAGTAAGAATTTCAAGTTTATAACGTTTAACAAGACCACTATCATTTGAATGAACATAAAATGATTTTAAATATGGTTCAAATATTTGTTTATGTTTATCAGCTATGGATACGATTGATTTTAAAATAATTGTTTGAATTTCACTAGATAACATAATGAATAAAAGAACATGATTTTTGAAAAATAAATATAAACAAATCTACCGATGATGACGAAGTAAACGAAGAAGTGATTTAGCAACAATTTGAATTTCACTTCGAGGTGCTACATAATAATATAATTGTGCTACAGCCATAACAACCTTTAAAATGATAACAATAAAAATGGAAATTATTCTTGGACAACAACTATAATATGCTTGTGAGTTCCATATTTTCGTCTTAAATGAATACTCGACTGAAATATTCACTTAATTTTGCTTGGTTTAGATACTTTTTTATGCGTCGACAAACAAAAAGATTCGAAAAAGAGTAAAATAAAAAAAAAACCGCTTCCATTTTGCTATCTGCATGAATCATTTTTGTACAAAATCGAGCAGTTCAATCTAGACTGTTCGATAGCTTAGAATTATCTAATGTCTCTTGGGTCGAAAATGACCAACAGTATTAGATTTAGAATAACTTTCTCTCTTCCATGACAGATAATCATTAGTCATTCAATAGTTTAAATTTAAATACATTGAACGGTTTGATTTTGTACACTCTCTCGATTGGAAAAAAAAGTAATGTCGAAAGAAATACTTATGTAAGAAATGAAACATACAGTCAAGAACAAAGAATTGTTCATCTTGAGTGATTCGTTTGAAACATCTCTCGGGAAATTATGGAAATGTCTACATTAATAAAAAATAAGTCTAAACAAGCGAATAGTAAGAGAAATGTCATTAAAATACCAAGGAGTTCATTATTAATGAATCTGATAGACAAGTATCGTACTCATAGTATTACGATCAAGATAGATACGACGATTTAGTAACTAAGATTGAAAAACGACGATGAGTAAGTAGTGATAAACATAGAAATTTGTGTCGATACCCTCTGCAGAATGCCAATAGATTTTTGTTGTCTATAAATATCTTCAATATTCAATTTATGAAATAAAATTTTGATATAAAAAAAAAAGCTTGTTAGCGCAGCCCCTTTGGGGCTGAAATGTGGAACTCACATATGCTCTCTAGCCTCATTCAACTAATATAAAATACGTAAACTGAAAAATCTCTCCTAGACTAAAGTTGTTTTGCTGGATAATCAATCGCAAGAGTAAGAATCTCTCTAATTTCGAACATAATGTTCTTTAAACTTTT